TCCTAAGCTTCAGGGGTTTTGTGCAGCTGTTTTCATAGATATTTCTAGGGAACTGTAAATTTTCAGTTCTTCCAAGGTGGTATGATCAAAGGCAAGATGTTTACTCCTCTCCTGGCCTGTGCTCTGGTCTATCAGAGACCATAAGCACTCTTTTCTGCTTGGGAATGGCGAGAAGGATTCTCTCTGAACCACCACCACAAGCTCCACCATTCCAATGCTCCTCCTCACCCCAGGATCACCACCCAGAACCGTGACCCATATCTGAGCATTGGCAAAGCAAGGGAATCCTGCCTCAGTGCCAGCAAAAAGATCCCTGCAATCGCCCTCCAATCAGCTGCTTGCTACCTTCCACTATATGTGGGCTGAGAGCTCTGGAAGCAGTCACTGCCCCTGGACTGCACCTACACTGGGGCCTGCATGAGCTCCACTCTCACTGTGGTACAGCAGAGCTTTCCTACTGACTTCTCTGTTGTCTTTAGCATTTGTGGGTTGAGAAGTCTGGAAACTGCCACAGCTGCCCATGATTCAGTCCCGTGAGGCCTGCTCCAGGTTCACTGAGGCCTGGTCTTTGCCTGTGGATGCCACTCTGAACTGTGATCCTCTCCCAGCCCTATGCAATAGACCTTTCCAATCAACTGTCCAGGATGTCTTAGGCTGTAAATTTGTTTCACTCTGCCTTTTTATGGGCTCTGCTGCTCTACAATTTGTTTAGAGCCATTTTTTACAGATATTTGGAGGGTGTTAGGGGAGAGCTCAGGCTAGTCACCACTTTCACTCTGCCATCTTGGCTCCATCCCCTGGCCTGTTATTTTCTTAAGCTGATGTCTGCTGTAACTATCATGAATGAATAAACTTCCCTACATTTTTGACAGAAAGTGTAAAAACCATTTTAGGCCTCACATGCAGCTGCATATGTGAAACAGTAGGAACCATACTGAAGAAAGGTGGCATGACCAAGGAATGCCCTCTAACAGCAGGCATGAAATACCATCATGACAGAAGTGAGTTGATAGAGCTATTGAAGTGGTAGGGAAAGGCACCAGAAAACTATATTACAATCTCTCTGGAATAATGTTTACATATGCAATTAAAATGTCATTTGCCCAACTAAAGGCAACAAAAAAGGATCAAAATGAAAGGAATCTAGAAGACATCATCAGAAATTCTAGACTTTTAATCAGCACATAAAAACAAAACTCAAAAGGTTAGTGCTCTGAGGAGTCAAACCATCATGAAGGAAAATTAAACCATTCAAAATCAATTTTTTTTCACAAAAAGATTTACTACAGAAACTTGAGAAAGAAAGAAGCAAGATATGCCAACCAGAGATTTCAAAGGAAAGCCTGTAACTGAACATATTAGATTTAGTGGAATTCTACAATATGAGTTGAATGGGAAAAACATATTTAAAGCAAGTAATCAGTTGTAATACCAATTTTAAGGTGAGGAAATATTAACCATTTTATAGATTCCAAAACTGAGTAAGAGGATTGAAAAACAGTCTTAGAAAATATACATTGATCAAACACCTACAAAAATACTTTACAAACAAGCAGACATCATCATCATCATCATCATCATCATCATCATAGCCAATATTTATATGGCATTTAAGCTTTGCAAAGTACTTTATGTATGTTATAATACATATATTAAATCATATATTACATATATTATACATCTGATCCTCACAATAACCTATAAGGTAGGTGTTATTGTTATCCCCAATTTACAGATTAGGAAATTGAGGCATACAGTGGTTCAGTGACAAATTCAGGGTCTTACAGCTAAGCAAATGTCCAAAGCAAGATTTTAACTCAGGTTTTCCTAACTGCAGATATAGTAAAGTTTTATGACAGGCATATTCCACTGGATTTGTCAAATATAAGAATGAATTTTCTCACCAAATTTAGTCTATGAAATACCTAAGATTTAAGGAACAAAAGGATTTTGAGGAGTGACACCTTTATGAGCTCAGGTAATACTTTGTTGAGATACAATCATCAAATAAATGTCTGAGTCATGCAGATCACTTTGTGGAAACAGAAGAGTTTATGATTTCAATTTAAGACTAAATAAATCAATGTTACCAAAAATTCCAGAAAAAGATTATCTTAAAGTAGTCTAGATTTAATAATCAACTTAGACTATGAAAGGAAATGGTAGAAACAATGCAACTCATGATTGCAAACTGTAAAAATTTAGTACTTTCAAACACCTATCAAGATATTACCTTGTGGCTGGAATTACACATACCCTCATCAGCTTTCATGGACTGGTAGGAGACAAATTCTTACATACTATAAACATAGTCTTCATATTATCTTAAGAGTTCAGCTAGTAAACTGTATTTGAAGTAGATCATTATCACAAACCAAACTTTCCCCACAACCACCTAGACAAAACAACAATTTAGAAAACACTAAGGGCAAAGATTTAATAGATATCATTACACTGAATCATCATAATCTCTAAGCCAAATAGAATTAACAACATTCAAAAGGGTCTAAATCTATTCACAGAGCCTTGGGGCTAACCCTGGTGTGATAAAAGGGAGTGTTATACCCCTATTACTTACTACAGCAACTCCTGAGCCCCAACCAGCGTGCTTCCCATTTTATACAAAAGCAGTTACCAGGACGATATTAATTTTTTAAATTAAATTTTATTGGTATCTTTTTTTTTACACTGCCTAAATTTCTCTCTCTGTTCCTCTACTACCTTTCCCAGAGACCCATCTCATTAAACAAAGAAGATGAAAAGACAAAGAAATGTGGGGGGAAATCATCAAAACTGTTAGTTACATTGAAAGAATCTGATAACAATATACAATGCTTCAGACCTATGGATCCTCTACCTTTATAAAAGAGTATCGTGAGCTATCTTCTCATCTTTCTTCTTTGGGACCTAATTTGTTCTTTGTTCTTTTGAAATAGTTATTCTTTATTGTTTTATGGTTATTTTTTCTGTTTACTGTGCTGAAGTATGCTGCTTTTATGGCTCTACTTACTCCCCTTTGTATCAGTTTAGCTAAGTCTTTTCATATTTTCCTGTATTCATCATATTTGTAATTTCTTATAGCATAGTAATATACCCTTACATTACCACAATTTTGTTTAGCCATTCCTGAATTGATGGGCATGTACTTTATTTCCAATTCCTTACTACCACAAAAAGAGCTGCTACAAATATTTTGGAGTATATGGAGTCTTTCTTTTTACCAATGATTAATTAACTCTTTAACAAAATCATACTTAATGAAAAGAGTAAAGGGAAAACAATCATAACATTTCTTCAATAGAAAACAAAATCAAAATAATAAAATATCACCCATGAATCGAGGTCATATTCTTTTGCCAATGTATGTAGTGTCTGTGGGGAAGAGTAGGTACATATTTAGCAAAGAAGCACATGAATGAGAAAACCTAAGTGTCCAGGGCAACTCACTATAGTGATGACAGTGCTTAAGCCACAGAAGAGTAAATTTTTCCAAGGAGGAAGTCCACTAAACAACTCCCATAGATCCCAACCTGGGTGGCCCTCTGTTATGGCATGAAATAATTTGACAGCCTTTTTAACCTCACCAAGGCTCTCAGAAATATTTCCACTATACTCAACACACAAGTATTGCTTTCCAACTGAAGCACAAGTACCTCCTTACTGGGCAGTGAGGATATTCAGGGCCTTTTGGTTCTGAAGAGCACTGCTACTAAGAAAGTGACTTCTCTTTGGAGGCTTTGTTGTTGTTATTGTTCAGTAATGTTTGATTTGTGGAGTTTTCCTGGCAAAGATACTAGAGTGGTTTGCCATTGCCTTTTCCAGCTCATTTTACAGATGAGGAAACTGAGGCAAACAGCATTAAATGACTTGCCCAGGTGACAGCTAGTACAGAGCTAGTAAGTGTCTGATGCCACATGTGAACTCAGGTCTTCCTGACTCTAGTACCCACATTCTATCCAATGAGCCATCTAGCTGGCCCCCCTTGGGGCTTTAGATAGCATCAAATGCCTTTTCTAATTCTGCAGAAATGTTGAGAATACCTACTTCCAGTTCACTAGAATTGATTTATAGGGATAGAGAGCTATTATCACCTGATGAAAAGTAATTGCTAAGTTGTACAAGGTGATTAACAGACTTCCTTACCCTGTGGCAAGAAACTGTCTAAGTAGATGGCATTATGGAAAAACAATTCCTTTTGAAAGCAGAGAAGAGGGAGCTTATGTCTTTTAGTGCACAGACCATTCCAGGTGGGTGGAAGGACTTTATTGGCACCATTCCTGTTGTGATCTGAGAGGTTGAAACCCCTCAAAGACTGGAGTAGTGATGTGGTTGTCTGAAATGAATTCAAAAACTCAAGCATTCTTTAAGTCAAGTTAGCAAAAAGTTTATTGTTATGCTTTTCAGCAGGGAAGGATTCTTAAGGAACCTGTGACCTTTGAAGGGTACAGTTAAAGTTTACATAGGACAAAATATAATAAAACGTGTCAAATACGCTAACTAGGTGATTTAGGGCAGTATCAGGGAGCAGTGAAGGAGTGGTCAGTTCTTAAAGAAACATGCACTTCTTGTACCTACTGAGCAAACATTTTACCCAGAGTTCCCTAGGAAAAGCCTACAAGGGGCGGCCACACGGAGGTGTGGTTTTTGGCCTGCTACATCACTAAGTTGACTAGAGTTCAGGGATAACTGAGAGTTGTTCAGTCTGCCACCAGGCAATGTCTTGTTTGACAAGATAGTTGTAGGGAGTATACATATTTCTTAGGTCTAGAATACAGTACAGATAATGAGCAGTCCAGGATGCAGATAATGAGGTAGGGTGGTAGTAGATAGTCCACTGGGAAAGAATATCTTTATGACCTAGTGCAAAGTCAGTTCAAACTAATAATTCCTTAAAGTGTGGTTTGTAACTGCACCAGGGAGAGAGATAAAGGTCTTTCTGGGGCCCACTCATGAGGAATTGCTAGGCACAGTGTCCTTGGGCTGAGCAGAATCTGCCAGGGATAGTGTTTCTGAGGCTGGGGAGAAATTGGGGTCCAAGTACAAGCATAAGCACCCAAGCACCCCATCATTCCCGTATATAAACTGTAGTCCTGGGGTCATCATAAGGGTCAGGATATTAACTACTATAAGAGTTTCCAGAGCATTATTTTGGGAACTAAATTTAGGATCAGAGTATCTGTTCTAAAGTATCAACATTCCAATTTTCAATGTTATTAAGCCAACAATTAGAGGAAAAATTAAATCAACACTTGATTGCTAGGTAAATAGCTACAAAAAGTCCTTCTGAGACTCAGAAATTATTATTAGAAACCATCCAGTGTTATATTTCAGATATATACCTGACTAATCTCTTAGGGAAATGCTATGGTTACTGAGACTTTTGAACTGTTTATTTGTTTTTCCAAAAAAATATATAATTTAACTGATATAGGCTAATATTTGTCAATTGGTATCAACTCTGCTCATAAGTGAGGAGCTTCTTCCATTGGTTTCATACTGGATGTTCTATGGGGAGAAGGGGTTCAAAGAAAATCTTGTCATCACTGTATTAAATCCTAAGATTTTCTCAGAGTTCTTTTCTCAACTCCCCCAGAAATTATCAGTCCTATTAGAACTTTGGAAACAAACATGATGCTTTGTTTCTGAAAGACATATTATCTGGGTTTCAGGTTTTCCTTGAGAATTTACTACAGAGATATTTACTTTAAGGATAAGAACTTTCCAGTTTCCCTCATTTTGACAGAGAGGGACTAGTTGAATGTCCTAAGTAATCTGCCTGCACTCTGAAATCTCTACTTAAGAGGCAATGATACTGGGTGGAAAAACGTTAGAATTTCTTCCACATCCTCCTTCATTTAGCTAATGTAGCCAATTTCTAAAGATTTTCTAGATAGGGATGGATTTCTTTCCTGCACATGCAGGATGGGAAGATCAAATGAAATAACTGTGAAGCCCTTAGCATAATGCTTGGCACATAGTAGGTGCTATATAACTGTTTATTCCCTAACCTTTCATTTTCTGGGTCATGTAGTCTGTATTGCTCCCTCCATGCTATCTGTTTCCAGAGAAACAGAATCCTCCAGGGGATTCTGACTGGACTCCTTCTTTACTCAGGTATAGTAAATCCAGAGTTCTTTTCTCCTTCACTTTAATGACTGTGTGTGTTGTCAGATGTACCTGACTTGGGCTGCAGAGGCTACTTTTTCCATTTTTTCCATCTAGACCCAATCTCCTGGTTGAATCTTATGGGCAGAGACATTCAGAGTGTCTGCTATTGTAAAACAATGTATCTGTGGAGAGAGGATGACTGGGGCTGTGAGGATAGAACATATTGTACTGAATCCTCAACCTCCTTTAGGGTGAAGGTATGAGTCAATGAAATTGGCACAGATTTCACCAACAGTAGTTCCACGGGTAAGATTTTAAGTTCCATCTTGGGTGTCGCTTAAAGAAAACAAAGTCAAAGGTAATGCATCTATCTGCTTTAGCTTAGGATCCTGGAAAAATCTGCCAATCTAGTTTTGAGTGATAGATTCATTTCTTCATTATGCCCTGAGGACTGAGGATGATAAGAAGTATGTAACTTCCAGTGGGTGCTTATTGCATTTCAATGAATTGTTGGATTATTTCAGAATTAAATGGATCTTTTTGTTATTATTAATCACTGCCGGGGGGGGGGAGGCAGAGGTGGATAGACAGTAACAAATTCTTCAAGGACTTTTCTGGAGTGACCTGGAGTATTCTTCAGGGAAGTCAGAAGACCCTGCACATGGGAAATCACCAAGTCCATGTTTATCACCTAAGCACTACAGTGTAATGTGGCCCAAAATGTACATAAAAGATCCTAACCTAGTAAATTAATAACACCTCTAGGACAAAACTATTCTCAGGGCTGAGAATGATAGTGTGTCTCACAATTTGGCCATGGTACAAATTTTCCTTCAATACCCATAAACATTTTGTCTGGAAACAGCTGGGGGCACTGTGGATAGGATAGAGTCAAGAAGACTTGAGTCCAAATCCAGCCCAAACAGTTGGAGTTGATAATGGAGAAGATAGTGAGGTAAGGTAACTTGTTGTAAGTTGAGCCTGCAGTACCCACTGAGGCAATGTCAAATACAAAGCAAAACAGCTAGTTATGTCATCTCTTAACAAGCCACTCAGCTCTTAAAAATCCACTTCTAATACCGAGAACTGCCAGATTCCTCAGATCTGCAAATAGCAAGGGATTCTGCTTTGTCTAGGCAGCTCTAAGCCTCTTCTTACAGCAGAGCACAACTTAGAGAAAAACAGACACAAAGCCTCTGGTTTTCTCTCTATTCTTCCCTCTCAAACCAGAAAGGGGGCACAGAACAACAGGCTGAATAGTTCTTCACCCAGGAACAGAATTCAACTCTCAGCCAATGAGCATGCAACAACAATTTCAGCTTTTCTCCAGTCCATCAGCAAGCAATTCTTTCTTCTCACTGGCAAATGCCTAGAAAAGCAATCAAAGAGTCAGCTGTCTCAGCGAGAAGCCTTCTCCCTTCTCTCCCCGGAGTCATTATTCCTCCTGCACCCAACTCACTCACTCTCTTACTTCATCTCCTGTCTATTTTATCCTATAGCTATTTCTCTAAGCATTACCTCCTGCTGTGCTTCTTAAATGCGTGTAATATGATGAGTTCTTGACCCGACATCTATGAAGTATAAAAATTATAATAACTATTTCAGTATAATTGTTTTCCTTTGTAATCCTGTATACTGAACTTTATGTATTTAAAATGTTCTCAGAAAGGGATTCTATCAGACACAGACACACACACACACACACACACACACACACATTAAGAACTCCTACTCTAATGCATCAAATCACAGCCTCTCTATGGCCAGACATGAACTCAATGGTATTTATCAAATCTCCTTATAGACCTCAGTTATTTGATTCATCATTTAGTCATCTGTAAAACTCTAAAAATAGCCACATGCAAATGAGCTCATGGACCGTGATTCTGTACATCCATTGTGACCTCAATCATTGCTTTCTTGTCAAAGCTGTGCTCTTAGTTCATTACCTGAGGTTCTCTGTCTGGTCCTCCGACTATGCTTCTCCTCTACATTTTATCTGAGAGCTTATTTCTTCAAAAGTGGAGTTTGTTAGTTTTCCTTGCTTGAATTTATTTGTTATCTTTCAGCAACCACACTGTTCAAAGAGGAAAGAAACAGTATCACATGTCTTCCACTATAAAAAAGATATTTTTTCCACCTGTGCCATACTATATAGAACACAAAATATCAAAAATAATAACAGGATAGTGACTGTTACTTTTTATTACTATCTGCTACTATCTATTTCTTACTCCCCTAAAACAGATGAGAATTGTGTAATCTTATCAGTGAAATTAATAATAGCTTCCCTTTGTGCTTTAAGGTAAGTGAAGTACTTGCCTCCTCAAAGTCCTGTGAGGTAGACAGCACAACCACTATTATTCCAATTTTAGAAGTGAGGAAATTGCTTCAGAGAGGAGAATTCATTTGCCCAGTGTCACATGGCTAGTAGGTATCACAGTTAGGCTTCCTCACCACAGCCTTCTGATGAAGGTAACACTGGGCCAAGCCAACAAGGAGCTCACTTGGGCCATAACCAGCAAGAGAAGTAAGCTTTGGAGCTTCCTATTTCAATCAATGATTCTTACCAACTTAGTGCAAAGCTCAAGTGTTACTGCTTAAGAATAACAACTGTTGTCAGCTTCCTCTAAATTTTGGTGCCTTGAAGGTAATTCCTTGTGGGCTAGCTATAGATATAACTGTTCATTTAATACAAAACTAAACAAACAACAAGAGTTCATGGTCTGATTTAATCGAAGGGAGAAAAAATCTTTGCCAGTGTTTGGAGGAACAAAAGTATGAGGAGAAATAAGAGGGAGTGGAATGAGAGTTAGGACAAGTTATCTCACCTTCTCTTCCCTGACATAGGCAAATAGTGAACATTCTGGCCAACAGGCCAGTCTTCAGATGGAGTTTTGGCCTGTGAAATTAGGGGAGGAAAGTTCAACTGAATGAAGATTGACAAACTCAATTAAAGAATCATTAAAAATCAGTATTTTTTTCAATTAAATACAAGCTGAACTCATACTAACTTAATTTCCTCTCTTGAAGAGTTTCTATATTTGCAAGGCAGGGGCCATCTCCAGCCATCCTGATCTATATCTTGTCACTGCACCCAGATGGCTTCAAAGGATGAAGTGAGGCTGATGACCTTGCACAGCCCTCCCTCTTTTAAATCCTATTCACTTCCAATTCATAGTATCACCTTCCTGATGTCATGGTCCTCTTGAAATATGGAGGGCAAACAACAACAACAACAAATAAGAATATTGGCAGGTCAAGGGAGTGCCGTAGACAGTATTTCTGAACATTCATTAGTATCACAGCTCTAAAGGTGGAATAGACCCCAAAAGCTAACTAGTGCAACTCCATAATGAGGATACAGAGGCACAGGATGGCTGACTGATTTGTTCAAGGTCATCCAGGCAATGGCATGACAATAACTCCTCTGCTCTCTTTGTAAATGAGATGGAAGTCTGTCTTTGTGAATACTATGGAGAGATGTGGGCTCAATTTTTATTCCCTTGAATGGATTTAGATCTCGTTCAGTTTCTAAATGAAAAAAATGATGATTAATAGATAGATATCAACCTCCAGGGAGGTCTTATAGTTAAACACTACAGCCCAGAAACACCACTTTCCAAACAAAACCCAGCTACCTTTAGTTTCTGGGGGAAAACATCCTAGACAGAATCTGATATTCCTTCTTTCAGTATTGTTTGATCTAAACTTAGATATATTGAAAAGCATGGGAGTGAGGGGGAAAGAAACCCTAGCAAACAGATTTATAAGACATGCTCTCCATGTTTACAGTAATGATACCTGGGTGGGAGAAGGAGCTGTCCAGCAAATTCCTCTGTACTTAGAGTGCCTAGCTTCTTTTCTCATCATCTTTCTCTTCTACTTCTCAGAACTTATCAAAAATGTAAAGGCCCTGCAACTACTGACCCACAGTTTCTACTCAGTACTTTCATTCTTCCACATGCAATGAAGAGATGCTCACTATAGCCACTGTTTCCCTTGACTCATATTACCCAGGCGTGCCTCTGGCCTTTAAAAAGCATGTATGCAAGTACTCTAGTGGCTCCATGATCTTCACAATACACTTTTCAAGCTACAGTGTCATTCGTATCCCCATTGTAATCACCCCATTGCAGCCATAGTTAGGACAGGGGAAGCTGGAGAGGGATGTGTCCACAGAAGGGTCATCGCATTTATATATTTTGCCTTTCAGACTGCAGCTGCCCAGACTCTTTATGAGTTCCTAGGGATGGGTTTCAGGGATCTCTCCACAATCTGAAGGTTTCCAACATTTTTATCTGTGGATAAGATAAAGGGAAAATTCCATGTTTACAAATTTTTCAGATGATGCTATGCTGGGATAGATTGAATGAGAGAATCAAGACAGAAAAATAATCCTTATACAGTCTACTGATAGAGTGAATTTATTAAAATGAAATGTGAGATATTGGTATTAGATGATACTAGATTTAGGGCTGGAAATGACCTTCAAGGCCATCTCGTCTATGTTCTCATTTTATTAATGAAGTTATTCAGGCCCAGAGAGGGAAGGTGATTTGCAAAAAGGTACTGAGGTGGTAAACAAAACAACCAGGATTGGAACCCAGATCCTTTGACTACAAAAATTCAGGATTCCTTCTATTATACCATAGGATAAATGTAAAGTTCTACAACTGGACACAAATATGCAACTTCATAAGTATAGGAATGAACAAACATTTGTTGTCGTTTTTCAGTCATTTCAGTAATATCTAACACTTCATAACTCCATTTGGAGTTTTCTTGGCAAAGATACTGAAGTGGTTTTCCATTTCCTTCTCCACCTTATTTTATAAATGAGGAAACTGAGGCTAAAAGAGTTAAGTGACTTGACCAGAATCATATAGCTAGTAAGTGTCTGAGGCCAGATTGAGTTCAGATATTTCTGTCCACAAGCCTGTAGCTCTATCCACCACACCACCTAGTGTCCCCGTGCAATTATTAGGATGTTCATAAGGGAAAGAATATAAGAATTTCAAATCCATTGCATTCATTCAGGGCTTTATACTTTCTCAAACACTTTTTGACCTACTACATAATTAGTGTCCCTTTTGAAATAAATAAAACAAAAGTTGCTATGTCCATTTTGCAAATGGGCAAGCTCAAGTCCAGAACAGAGCAGTAGTTACTCCCAGCTCATACAGCTGAGGACAGAGCCATGACTGAGGCTTGGGTCTTCTTCCACTAAATGCTCTGGTGAAAATGCTCTAGAAATCAGCTAGTGCTAGATAAGATATCACAAAGGAGGACCCAGGTCTCCATCAGTATCAGAAAGATGGGAATGATGAGGAAAAAAAGATTTAAGAGAAAAGAATATTTGCTAATTATGGACCCAATATTCTAGAGGACACAGAGAATGGGATAGGCAGATCTGGAGCAGGACACTGAGTGGAGGTAAGATGGAGGCAAGAAGGGCTGAGGTTACTGAGAGTGAGGGAACAGAAAATTAAGGATTATGCAATAAACAGAATGCAATAATTCTCATAAATTCATAAAAGAAGAAATATTAAACATATAAATATAATTTTAGAAGATCCTTGAAAAAAGAGTTCAAATTCAAAATAGACTGAATAATTTAATGCAAAAATATTGGTTGTTCAGAGAACAAATCATAGAAATAGGGTATAATTTCATCAAAGAAAATTACAACAATAAGACAATATAACAAAATATTTGAGGATAGCCAAATCAGTCTTTAGGAGAAATTTTATGTATTTAAACACTTTCACCAATAAAAGAAAAACACATAGATGAGTCAAGACAGAGAACAAAAAAAATTAGCATTAAATTTTTAAAAAGCAAGTAATGAGAAAAACAGAAATTCTGAACAGCCCTTAGGAAATTAACAAAATTGGAAGAAAAAATGTGCCTTAAATTAGGTAAATAACTTTCAAACATTCCTGTGGAAAAGACTAGAGCTGAGTAGAACCCTTAACATTTAAACACAGGAGTCAATACAAACCTACAAAGGTAAATATATTTTCAGGCAACTGAGGGGAACTAAATCACGGGTTCTTATCATTTTTGTGTCGTGAACCCCTTTGGCAGTCAAGTGAGCCTCTGGACCTTTTCCTAGAGTGCTGTCCTTAAATAGATAAAATAAAATATATGAGATTACCAAGAAAATAAATTGCATGAAATTATTTTCCTTAACTAAACCCATAGATTCCATTAAAATCTAGTTTGAAAATTCCTGGACTACATGTTGATAAAGAAGCTACATTTTAATTAGGGAAGAAGAAACAAATGTCTCTTCAAAATCTTAACATCTTCAACATCACAGAGGTAACTAAGGAATACAGAAGGCCTGTGGGTACTTTCCTTCTGTGTTGATGAGAGCAAAGAAAAAGCAGGAAAAGATAAAACACTAGGAAAGAAAAGAGGGAGAAGAGTGAAATTTGCTATTTCTCAAAATTGAGGTACATGAGAAGAAGGGTCTCCAGACTTAGAAGAATGAGTTGTAGGTAGTAGGCATCACATGAGCCTCATCTGAACCAGACACTAAAGAGCTGAGTAGGAAGGGAGAGAGAGACAGACAGACATACAGACAGAAACAGAGACAGAGACATTGAGAGAGAGACAGAGAGAGACAGAGACAGAGACATTGAGAGGGAGAGAGATTTAGTATAGAAAAACATTAAGTTCAAAATTGAAACATACCAACATTCGAGGGAGTGGGGGCAGGGGAAGTTGTTTAGAGAGATTAAAAAGGAAAGTAGAAATGAAGGAGGAATAGCCACAAGGAAAGCACATTTCAGAGGGTGGATTGTAAAGGGGAAAATAAAACAAAAGAAAGAAACATTAAAAAGCAGTGACCAAGATCTGGGAAAGGGGAAGAAAAGAGGAGCAGTGGAAGGGAAGGATTCAGTTCAGTTACAGATCAGTTGCATTAATCACACTTCTCTTTAACTATCTCCTTCATCTTTCTAAAGAGGGGTAGAAAGGAAAAGTAGAAGAGGATAGCATCTTAGTACCTAAATGATAAGTTAATTAAATCTGGGAAAAATAAAGAGGAAAACTATAATAATAAAACTATAATAACAAACCTCAATGTACCCCCTTTCAGTCTAGTCAAAATTAAACAGCAACAACAACAAAAAGCTAAATAAGAAAGAAATTAAGAATCTAAATACTGCTGGCTTGACTGGGTATTATAGCACTCTTTTCACCTGGCATGGTACTCTTTTCAACAAAAGTAAAGACTCAGACTAAGGTCTAGAAATGGCCAATTTTAGACTCTGACTCTCTCAGAGTCTTCTTTTTGAAGTCTGTCACTTCCAATCAGGAATTTGGGAGAAATATGGGTCCTCTAGACTTTTTCCATATTTCTCACCAGCTTTTGAACTTCTCTAGAACTTTCCATTATGTCTTCCTCCCCCAGAAACTCATCACTGGGAAATCTTATTACCCTGCAAGATTGAATCATCTTGGTCCAACCATCTCATCAACCCCCTCTGCACCCTTGCTGGGACATCTGACTAGAGGGGCAGGGCCCTGAGCTCCTGGAAAAAGCATAGTTTTTATCCACATTTCCCTCCCAGCCCACGCCTGATCTCCTCTCTGCCTCTCATGAGGTTGCTCAGCAGCCTGGCCTGTGGGGCCACCCTGGGGCTGAGGGCAGGCAGAGGCCCAGCGCGGAAGGGGCAGGAGCAAGTAGCACTGAGGCCCCAGGCCAGCCTTGCTCAAGCTTCTCCATCCTGCCTGGGAAAACTGAAGCATCCCAGGGCCAAGCTGGCTAGGGTGCCCTGCCAGGAGGCCCCTGCTCTTCCCATACCTTCCCATCCCCTCTCCTCCATCACCCCCTCCCACCTGAGACTGTGATTTGGGGGGAGGGTGTGGTGTGGGACCCCCTGGCCTAGCTGAGAGAGGGGACCATTGTCATCTCATTTTGTCCTCAAGCCTCCCTGCCACCATGATACAGAGAGGAAACTGAGGCACACGGAGGAAAGGAAGTGCTTGGGGACTCCCACCTGGGAAGTGGGGGCTGAAAGAAACCCTCAAGCATGGGATGAAAAACTTCCCTAACATCCATGTTGATAAAGCTAATTATTTGACTTAGCAAGGCTTCATCTTTCCTGACAACCCTCCATATGACAAGGGAACCTTCAGAATTAAAATCAATTTCCCAGCAAAGTCTCCATTCAAACCACCTAAGATCATTTTTAAAACAAAGATCTACCACCCTAACATCCATGAAAAAGAGCAGGTCTGTCTGCCAGTAATTAGTGCTGAAAACTGCAAGCCAGAAACCAAAACTGACCAAGTTATGCAGTCCCTCATAGCACTGGTGAACGACCCCCAGCCTGAGCACCCCTTGCTGGCTGACTTAGCTGAACAGTACTTTAAGGACCTTGAAGAATTCTATCAGAATGCTGAAGAGTTAACAAAGAAATGCAGGGAAAACCTACCTGTGGACTAAATCTTCCATGATTGATTCCAAGCAGTGCCAGCATAGACTTGGAACAAGGCATTT